CGGGGCTCGCACGGGGGGCGGTCCGCAGCTCACCAAGAGCGCCGCCGCGCCGCACGGCGCCGGGGTCGTGTTATGTCGCGGCGAGAAAGCAAGCACTCTGCGGCTGCCGTCTGAGAAACATGATTGCAAAGCCTCCCCCCCAGTGGACCGCGCGTGTGTCCCCGGTGCGCTGCTTTGCCTTTATCGCCCCGCCCGGCTGTACAGACGAAATTGCGGTCAAGCAGCACTGCACCGCGCGACAGACGCAGTGGCGTGGCGGCGTCGCGCGCGGCCCGACCCTGATCGTAAATTTGTGGCGCGGCGTGGCAGCTCGCCCCCTCAACCCCCTCCCCCCCCCTGCTCGCGACCCCCACCACTGTTAGCAGCAGGGGCAGCGCCCGTGCTCATAAGTTAAGTCGTGTTGCACTTTTGTTGTTGTTCGCAGCTAATTCGCATGACATTTTGCGTCGCGGGGGGAGGGGGGGGATTGGGGGGGCTGAGCTGCTACGGGCGGCGCAGAGTGAGAAAGCATGTGGGACGTCTTGGAAGGAAAACGAAGTGGCTTTTAAACATTAAAGAAAGGGGGGCGAGAACGGCGGGGAGATGTTGTAAGTAGCCGGCTATGCGGGTATTTCTAGCGGTCAATCCGTCATCAGAGACGGTGCCGTTTTTCTTTTGTTTTTGTTTTCGTGCTGTTTTTGCAGGGTGGTAAATTAGTGGGCACGCGTGGGATAGGTCAGGGCTCCGCTCCACTTGGCTATGCTCGGGGGGATGTGGCCGGGCCTTGGCCGGGGCGATGCCATTCAGCGGCCGGACAGCCGCGGGCGCCACAGTGTGACGGGGTGGACACGTAGAAAATAGCCCGGTGCGTGCGCGAGCAGCGCGCGGCCGAAATGTCTAACACCACCGCGATGTCTACGACCCCACGCGCCTCGCCGTCCTCGCCTCGCGCGGCTCGCAGGTCCGCACCGCCACCGTCCACGCCACCGCCCCCTCGCCGCGGACCTGCTTAAACTTGGGAACACAACACCGAGTTCAAATTAGGGGCGTCGACATCTGCCTTCCCTTCGCTCGGCGGCTGTTAGATCTCAACATCGGGCACGTGCGGCGCGCGCGGGGCGGCGCGGGGTGGGCGCTGGGCAGGGATGTCCGTCCGGTCCGCCCCCGCGACCAGACGTCAGAGCGCCCCGGTTGGGGCCCAAGGACACGGGCCTGAGTCACTGCGAGGGCGAAATAGAATCCCGCGTCACGGCGAGGTTCCCGTCCGTCCGGCTGGTGTCGGCCGCGAGGGGCAGGGCGTTGCCCTTGACTGCACTGACGGAGAGGGTCCGCCCCGCCCCCGCCCCGCCACCGCCCCCGCCCGCGGTTTTGCTCCGCTTCACACACGGCAAAATAGCTCGCCCTTGGCTTGGCTCGCGCCTCCTGCTTCATATGCCCCGTATAACTGCAGATGGGATGTCCTCGACCGACACCGCGGCCACCGCGGCTCCCGTCAGCACGCTGGACCGGACCGCCACGCTTGCGCCGGGCCTCTGACCCCTTGCCGGCAGTGTGCCGCCGCCGCTGCGCTGCGGTGCTTACTTTTGACGTCAAGCTATGCAAACCTGTTTGCTCCCGAGGCCTGTGCCCTGTGCCCCCCACGCTGCTGGCCGGTCTGACTTTGCGCCTCGGTATTCGGCGGCGGCGGCAACGGCGGCGGTCCGAACGTGTTTGTGTTTGTGTCAATACTCTGCGAGGGGCGTGGCGCAGAGGGGGGGTTGGAGGAGGGTCGGAGGCGGGGAGCGGGGGGTCCGAGTCCGTCGCCCACACCCCTTTCCCCGGGCCCCTCGGCCCCTCAGTACAAGAGGGCAGCGGTGTGGGTCCTAATTGATCGTGAGGACCAATTATTGCTGCAGCAGGGACCGCTCGCTTCTGCTGCTCGGTTCACGGCCCACGACCCAGCGGCGGGCGGGAGCGAGAGAGACCCGGCCCATAGCCACGCAGAGTGCGAAAGAAACTGCAAGACCACGCGATGACCGCGACTCGTAGTACAGGCGCCGCGACGCTCGTCCAAGAGGAGAGGGTGGGGTGGGGGGAAGGTTTATTCGCCAAACAATAGCGGGCCAAGCAACGGCGGTGGCAGCCAGGCAATACAGTGAGTGGGGCCGACAGGCGGTACAGAGAACAGCCCAGCCAAAATATTCGGCGCCGAGAAAGAGGAGTGTAGCGCGAGCGCGGGGCGGAGCGGTCCGCGCGGGGTTGTTTGTTGTAGGTCGGGAGCACAAACAGCGCGCGGCGCGCGCCGCGCACGCCGTGGCACAGGTACAGCGGAGCGGAGGTGCGCACGCCCGCCGCCGCCGTCGTCACCAACACCCGCACGCGCCCCTCCAAATATGCTCAAATTCTCCGCTTACTCATGACGAGTTGTACAAAAGTGCCCGCGCTCTGACTCTTATTTCCTTTTCCAATACGATAAAGGCCATGACACCATTCTGCGGTATCGCGGTGAGGAGAGGTGAATCATCGCCGTTGAGGAAGAAAAAGATAAGATTTTTGCGCGAATGTGTGCGAAAGGCACCCCCACCATAGTGAGCATGCAGAATAATGCCCAAATACACAACCAGGGTTTCGGACAACAACAAAAAATAATTCTTTTACGTCCGTAGAAAAGACTGTGGACTTCTCTCCGAACCTGGTCTTCCCTTCCATGCAAGTTTTTAAATTTCCCTTTTAAGTCGTCCTCGTTCAACCCGTCCAACTTTTCCCGGTGTCAACTCTCCCTGCCTCCCGGGCCGGGCACCGGGCACGGGGATTAGGTTTGTCAGCCCGTGGCGCCCGGCTCTGCAGGACCTGCTGCTCGCCCGGGGCGTCTCCTCCTCGGCACGGCGTCGCTTGGCGTCGCGCACAGCCAATAAAAAGCGTTATGCTCCCCGTGGCCAGCCGGCCCAGCCCAGCCCAGCCCAGCCCAGCCCGCCCCACCCAGTCCAAGGTGAGACTAGCAAGTCGTTTGCTTGCCTCGGGCCTCCGCCGCCGTGTCCTGTGGTCCGCGCGCCCAACCCCTACACTTATTGGCTATGTGTCCTCCGTTCCTACATTACGAGGAGTTTTCTGGAAACGGTAATTATCCAGCAGCCACTAGCCCGAAGCTGTAGGCCGTCCACGAACGTGCGAAAAGTACGCTAACTTCAGTATACTGAACGCGCAGCTGAAACTCCGTCAAAACATAGTAAAAAGGTCTGTTGTACTTCGTTCTGGCTGCCGTGCAAGACAAGCAAGCGCCGCCTGTCCTACTTCCCCTCCGGGCACCTGGCGCCCAACCGCCGTCCGCGGGTGCGGGGCCCTTTAGTCCTATCTGTCGCGGTCCTGTGGAGAGGTCCTTCCCCCGTCCGACCGGACCGGGTGCGCCTGCGGTTGGTGCTCCCGCGCCCGCTCCGGCCCGCCAGCCGCCGCCCAAGCGCTACTCCGGCCGCGCGGCGAGTTCCGGTCCGTATCCGGCCTGCGTTCACGCAGCGAGATCCGGTCGCCAGGAAACAGCGCAGACGTTTCCAAGCCCAATCGACTGATAGTGAGTCAGGAGCCGGCCCTCTGGGTGTTTCTCTCCCGGACCCAACGGCAGGCAGCGGTCGTCCTGGCGATAGGGGCGACGGGCTACTGATGGACCAATCAAAGCTTGCATTAACATTCTGGCCGTCATCGTCATAGACACACATAGAGATTCATCCAATTCGACACAATGAACTAACACTCTGAACATATCTCGAACCAGTTCACCACGAACAAAGGAGAACTAATGCTGTGAACATTATTTTGCAAAGTCCACCGGTTTTTGTTTTGTTTTTATATTTTTTCCCATCAGGATTCAGGATAGTTGTGCCAGTCGACACATTTCGGCGGCGCCGGTGGTGGCGTGCGCCAACCCAATGGCGTAATATACGGACGCTTGCTGTGCTGTAAACAGCGGCAGGAGGTGTCCCGAGGCGCCCGGCCCAGCCCTGTCCCGGGGCGCGGCCGTGTGCGGGGGCGGGCCGCGAACGCGCGGACCTGTGCGGTGCTGTGCGCCCCCTTTGTTTCGCCCGCGCAATCCGCTCTAAAATTAATTTGCGTCGCAAAGGCGTCGCGTTTCGCACTCTTATGCTCAGACGTGCGCCTGGCGCGGGGCGCGCGGCATACGGGTCGGGTATGGACTTCGCTCGCGCGATTTCGTGCGTGGGGCCGCTCGGTTTCACCCGCGGGGGGTCACACACATCCGGACCGGAGACCGTTCAGTCAGGCAGGACCAGGACCCCACGACGGCGGGGTAGTAAAACTAAAGAGCCCCCCCTTGGGCCGGCCGTGGGAGCCTGCGGCTCGGCCCGCGGGCCAGCCAGCCAGCCCCTTGGCTCGGACTTGCGAACAGCAGGCGGTGTAGCGTAGGCTGCTGCTGCTGCTTCCATTCCGCGAAATGAGCAGCACGCAAAAGTTTAGAAAGTCAAGGGAATCCCCCCGCGGGCGTGGCGTGGCGTGGCGTGGCGTGCGGCTGGAAAGGCTACCGGGCGGCCACCGCGGTAAGGTAAGGGACTCGTGCGGACCCAACGGGCCTGCGGCCGGAGCACCGCCTATCTCGACGAGCAAAGTCATGGTGTTGATAACTAGGGTGACTGTGACGCATGATACTCGCGGTCGCAGGTCGCAACTCCTCTGCTGGACTCCCGCGCGCGCGGACGAGTTGATGCCAATGTATCCTCGTTCTGCCACTGTACTTCAACCACGGAACATGTAATGACTTCGCGGTGCTAGAGTAACAAACCAAACACCGAACACAACTGATGGCCGCCTAGCAATAAATAACGTCGTTACGGGGGGCGACCCGGGGCCGGCGGCGCTGGACTTCCCCGAGCAGCGCGTGGTACTCACCTTGACGGCTGGATTTGGTGCGGGGACTGCGCGACGATTTGGAAGTCCGCGGGACTTGCGGAGGGTCTCGGAGATCGGCGACTGCTGCGTTCGACGTGCGACCTGCCTCGGCTCGCTCCTCGACACCTCTCTGTCTCTCTATCTCTCTCGGCCCGGTGAGGGGATGTGACTAGACTGACGGCGACTTACGGACTGCTCGCGCGCGGCGGGCGCCAGCTCCACTCGGCGCGCGCCTGGTTTCGCGCCAACGGGCGGCCCAGCCGGGCCGTGGCGATGCGCGCCCATAGCGGCCGGGCGGGCGCAGCGCAGCCGCAGCGCGTCGCGAGGAAGCGCCAGCCTGCGCCCGGCAGGTAGGCCGCCCATCCGACAGACGCACCGAGTGGGCAGCGTGGCGTGGGGCAGGGCGGAGTTGCTCCGCGCCGCCCGTCGTTCTGACGTACATCGCGGTGATGAGATTTATTCAATGTAACAAAGCGTAGTTCAGAGTAGGTAGGTGGTGAGTAAAAGACAGTGGCGCTGAAAAATTAACAAAATACTTTTATTCGACCTTTGTAAAAAAAAAACAATACAGTGTTGTTTGGCACGAGCCGGCGTGCCGCGTGCAACGCAACAACATCGATGCGATGTGCATGTGAAATGAGAGTATGTACATTACACCTCTGACCTAGCTAGGCCCGTGCAAATGGGGGAGATAGAGATAGGAGATGGGAGGCCGAGAGGCAGTCCTCGGGAGGCACACACGGCCGTCACGTCCTGCCGACGATCACCTCGTCGCTGACGATCCGTCGAGAGGGCGGTGCGACGGTCTCCGCCACCGCCAGGAAGGCGCGGTACGCGAACCACGCGAGGAGCGCGTAGAAGAGCAGCCTGACCAGGCGGTCGGCGACGTAGTACCTGTGATACAGGAATATACATTCAGCTGTATTTTTCCTGCTTCCACGACGTATTTCTAGTACACGGTAGACGCGGGTCAGGGTCGCGCATCAGCTAGGCAGCATTGGTCAGTGCGGGAGAGATTGACGCATGCGCAGACCGAGTGAGCGAGAGAACGAAACGACAACAAAGTGGCAGGCGTGCCACTTATCCGTGACGTGACCCGTGCGCCGAGCACAGGGCGTACTTACACTTTGAGCAGTCGCCGCTGGCGGGGCAGGGTGGCGGGGTCCTCCTTGAGGCAGTACTTCCGCGCGCCCAGCAGGCACCGGTCGATGTACTCGCTCATCTCGGGCTCCGAGATATCGAAGTTGAAGAGGCGCCGGTCTTCCGGGCCCATGTCGTCCCACAGGCCGAGGAAGCGGTCGTTGTAGAAGACCCACTGGCGCGTGGTGAAGAACTGCAGCAGCTCCAGCCCCATGGCGATGCGCTTGTAGATGCGGACCATGCTGCAGGCGGAGAGGGAGGCCACGGACGGTTAGTGGAGCTCGCGCACTTGGACGAGAATTAGCATACAAGGATTGCTGGTTGCGAGTGTGTAATAGACTGTGTCCCATGGCCTTGCCACGGACTCATGATTAGTTAATAAGCTCCTAGTTCAATCATCGATTATATGAAACAAATACTTTAAAAAGTCACAACCCTGCGCAAAGCGCAATCTTACAAAACCGTGTAAAAGTCCCGAGAGAGTTGCGCTTTTGTCTTTCTGAGGACACCCTAGCCAGTAGGTCGGGGGGCGGCGCGCACATTGTCACTACTATACGCACACGGGCAGCCCTGCGTACGGTGTAGCCCGACCTCCTGGGAGCTGCACGGCAGCACGGCAGCACGCCTGCACGGCTGCACGGCTGCACGGCTACACGATGTAATCATGCCTCGTCGTGTGTGCCATGCATGATCTTCCGTGCGCAACTAGGCGCCGCCTGGCTAACAAGTTTGAGGGGGTCAGCCTCGTTGAGTGTCTGCTGACCCCATGTGAAGTCCCTCCTCATGTGCCGTGTCGGCCGAGTGATGCGGGGGTGGAAAACGTGTACACGTGCTGGACAACGCCCGAAGGCGTGGCGAAGCGTGGCGGAGCGCGGCGTGGACATGGGGAAGCCGCGTGCGGCGGGTTGGGAAAGTCCGCACGCGGGGGGTACGACTTCTTGTCATGAAACGGTTGTGGAATGGGCGCCGCCTCAGTGCCTCGGTCGCAATGGTCACATAGGACAGGAATTTTCCATCACTACCTTTGTCTGCACTTCACACGACACCTTGCCGGGGAGCTAAAGTGTCTTTCGGCCCGGGCGGCCCACGCAGCCCGCTGCACCGGGCGGCCCGCCATCGCCCTGCCCGTCACGTCCGCGTTTTCCCACCATCTCTCGCTCTCACTAGGTACACGGACAGGACCGCCTTGGCGTGACCCGGCTCTCATTTATTTCGGGGACACGCAAGGGAGCCACCGCCGCTCGCGGTAGGGTCGCACGGGACGGGGGACAGCAACTCACAATCGGGGCTGCATGAAGAGGAACATCATGAAGTCGATGAAGTAGGCGGGCAGGCGGTGCTGGAAGAAGGCGTAGAAGTCGTGCGCGCGCCTGCTCGACCGAATGTTGCCGTCGGGGTACCAGAGGATCATCTCGAAGGGGTAGGCGTAGCCCGCGCGCCGGCCCTCGTCCAGCACCTTCTCCCAGGTGACCCGGCGCCACTTGCCGCTCGTCAGGTTGAACACGGGCACGGATGGCTCCCTGCGAGAAACACAACGGCAGTCGTCCAGCGTGTTAGCGCCATATGCATTCGGCCACCTTCATCGGCGTCCTCGTCCTCCTGCCCGTCGATTATACCTGGGGCCCAGGGCGACGCGCTGCGCCGCCACCAGGGTCGCGTTGACGGCGAAGTCCAGCGGGATGACCTCGGCGATGTAGTCACCGCGGCAGTACATGGAGCGGATGACGCCCTTGCCCGCGGCCGCCATCACGCCGACGGGGCCGTTCAGGTTGTCCACCCATCCCGGCACGGGCTCCTCCCAGGCGGGGCACACTGCAACAGAGAGGACGACGCGCAGCTTGGTGAGCTTCCGGCAGCCTATTGGTGAGCTCCGGCCAGCTTATTGGTGAGCTCCGGACGAGGCTCCGGACGAGGCAGCGCAGCGTCGGCCGTGATTAGCGATATGGCTCGGGCACTGCGCAATAGTCGCCGCCGCGGTGGGCGCAACAGTCGGGACGACGAGAGGAACAGCGTGGCAAAGAAAAGAACCCCGAAGTGCGGTCGGTGAATTGATGCAGTCGCGGCTCTGTAGGGGTCTGGGTCTGGGGCGCGAAGACGACGCGGCGCGCACTCAGCTCCCAGTGTGTTGTTAGCGCCTGCGCGCCCGAGCGTAGGCCGCCCGCCCCGGAGGCGTGTGAGCCGGCGGCCTAATCTCCAGGCGCTTGAGCGCCCGTGCCGGTAGGCCACCCGCCTAGGAGGCGTGTGAGGCGGCGGCCTA